TTTTATTTATTTGACAGAGAGAGACACAGCGAGAGAGGGAACACAAGCAGGGGGAGTGGGAGAGGGAGAAGCAGGCCTCCCGCCGAGCAGGGAGCCCGATGCGGGGCTCGATCCCAGGACCCTGTGATCATGACCCGAGCCGAAGGCAGACGCCCAACGACTGAGCCACCCAGTCGCCCCAGTAGTAATGGTTTTATACATAAAGGCCGTGATAGGTATTTTGAAGAAAGGGAACATGGTTCCAGAGACCATATAACAAAAGACCCCAACTGAGAAATACGAGGAAAGATCCACGAGGAAGTGAGGCTTGATCTAAGACAAGCAACTCAATAGTGTGTATGTGAGCAACGGAGATTAAAGTAGAGGGAGTAACACTTGGGTATATTATATGGATGGGGAAGTCTTGGTTGTCTTGGCTTACATGAAGATCCATCCAGAGGACGTTTAGACTGGTTGAACTGGACCTAGAGCTGACTTCCTGAGCCTATTGCATGAAACAAACTTCCCAGGACTGAATCTGACTAATCCACAGAATCACAATGGGCTTCCAGAAGCAAGTAATCATCGAAGGATGGCAGTAGGCAGCTATAGCTAGATATTCTGCCACGTTAAATGGCTGAACAGGAGGCCAAGCTCACGGTTGCTCCTTTTAGCCTACCAGGCAGAAGGTTTGATGAGGGAAGGAGGTTTATGTTAGAGGCAAAAATAACGATTTTAAAAATTGGCAAGTTTTCTTCATAGCAATGAATTCCATAGCATTTCCTACTCTCATTCTCTGTCAGGAACCTTATTCCTTCTGGTGAAATCTGGCCCATAACTTTCCTGAACATGGAGACCTACAGCTGCTGGGAAGACCTCAGATACTAAGCTTTTCCATTGACATGGGATTATTTTCCTTTGTTGTAGAGCTATACCTCTTTGCGCTTCGGAAATAAATCTACACTTAGGTCAGGGAAGGACCCCAAGCTGTACATTGTTTCCAAAGAGAACCAACTTTCAAACACTTGGCACTACTGATCGGAAGTTGTCAATGATCACATGCAAGGAGTCTGCCCCCTCCAGTGTGTCAGGTGGAAGTCAGAACCGGCTGTCAGCTGCCCATACCACCCGGCACAGTTAGTGAAGGACATGGAAATGAGAACATTGTGATCTTTGGAGTGCTGGGGTCGAGGGGATCTTCGGGAGGTGTCAATTTCTCGGAGGAGGAAAAAGTAACCATGGAGGCATGCACCATCTCATCTCCTCAGGAAGCCAGACCTTTTTCATGTTGAAATAATTAAAAATCTTTTCCTAACTAAGGATGGCCTGAAAGCCTCTTTGTCTGTCTCACAGCTCCCACACACTGAGAGGAAAGAGTGGTCAGTTTTATTGATGATTTTCTCTCTCTTTCTGACTCCCCTCATTGATCTTTTTGCCAATGTTGTTGGAGAGAAAATATATGAGATAGGATGTTTATTTACTCTATCTGGATATAGAACATCTCATTCTCTTTCAGATTGGATTATAATTTCAATTTCTTCTCCAAATAAAATCATGGGTGTGTGTGTGTGTGTGTGTGTGTGTGTGTGTGTGGACAGTGCTGTTATTTGTATAGAGAAGATACTACCTAAGACGCCCAGAGGATTTTAACTGTGTGAAGCCTGTGGTTCCCACCCCCCCCGCCCCGATCAGGAGTCAAGTGAAATCCAGCCACAATATCAACTTGAAGTTCTCACAAATTTCCATGATACCTCTTTATCAAGAGTTTTAAGGTTATTTTAATAGGTTAAAATTTCCTCCTTTTCTTCATGCATTATGATAGCCTAGAACAGGGCATGGAAGGCCAGATGGCAGTGAACTTGGGGAAGGAGTACAGCTGTTGCTCAGTGTTCTCGTTGACCCAAACTGCCCGACCTTGGGTTTAACTTAGGCTCTCTATACCTTCTGCTTTTGCAGAAGCAAAATGGGCCTAATCATATCTGATCTCAGACACATCTCCCAGGATTCTCTCAATAAAAATGAGACCTGCCTTGAAAAAGCATGCTGAAAAAGTTGGAAGATATGAATTAGTGGAAGCCCTTAACTGTCTTCCAAGTTACTGACTCGCCAGACTGTTTTCTCCAGCCTCTCTATGGCAATTGCCTGATGTTGACCCTCCAGGTTTGTGGGCTCCTCTGGTTAGAGTAGGCAGTGAGACAGTAATGAGCAGGACAGGGATGGAGCAGAAAGGCACCTGTTAGGCATCAAAGGGGAGTGAGGTGTTGCTGTTGCGGTGAGGAAATCCTAGGGCAACAGCAAGCTGAGGCTATGCGGTATCTTCAGATGACTTTTCTCTCATTATACCATTTACATTGTAGTTTTGAAAGATCTTGGCCCCTAAAATCACCGTGACAGTTCTGATCAATCCAAATAAGGAAAGGAAAGGGGTGGTACCTGGATTCCTGGAAAAAGCAGACTGCCACCCAGAAAGATCCCACCTACCGCAATGAATATTTCTCCTCCAATTACTCAAAATACAATACAAGCTTGTAAACAGAAGAAATCCAGGGCAGCTGCTCGCTGGAGTCTGCCCGTTCTTCCTCTGAGAGTGGACTTTCGCTATAAACTTGCCCACACCGCTCATCTGCTCTGTCTGGTCTGTCCTTGAATTCTTTCTTGTGATGAGACCAAGAGACCAAGAAGAGACCAAGAGGCTCTTGCAGTCTCTTTTGGCAACACTCTCTTTTACAGCCTCACGTTTCTGCCCCCACCAGCAGAGCTACAGGTTTATCAGTGCGTGTGTCTCCTAATCTACATATGCCGGTTGTTACTGTAACTGTATAAATTGATTAACTACAGCAAGTGATAAAATAAAGGAGGAAAGAAGGAGTTGTTTTTATAGAAAGTTGAGAATTTTGAACAATTAAAAGTGATTTGCAAAAATTTTGCTTTAACTGGGGATAAGACTACTGTAAAAGATTATGAAATATATATTATATATATAATATATATATATAAATTTAAAAGCCTTCTCTAGTCAACTTGTTTCAAAAGTGCCTTTAAGTTTTTACCTCTCTTCAAAACAATGGTTCTCAACTCTGCATGCATTCTGGTTAGCTAGAAGAGATTTTAAACAAACACCAAATACCAGGCCCTCCCCAGCTCAATGACATCAGAATTGCGGGATGGGACCTAAGCAGAGGTGATTTTTAAAAGAAGTGCCCCACCTGGAGTTAAAATATTGTTTTAGAGGAACTGATATGGGATAACATAGATGATGAATTATGCATTTGTTTTATTTGAGGAAGAAGTCTTGGAACTCAAACAGAAGACTCTTTAGAAAATAAGAGCTTGGTCCTACATTGGAAAATGAGTGAATAATCGTGCATTTCTATATTTTAAGTTAAAACAAAATGCTTAGGTAATTAAAAACTAGTATGCATTACTCTTTTTATGGCTCTCCACTTTAACCACATTTTCAGTTTACCATTAATTCTGATTTTATTAGGGCGCCTGGGTGGCTCAGTCGGTTAAGCGCCTGCCTTTGGCTCAGGTCATGATCCCAGGGTCCTGGGATGAAGCCCTACGTGGGGCTCCCTGCTCAGTGGAAGTCTACTTCTCCCTCTCTCTCTGCCTGCCGCTCCCCTTGCTTGTGCTCGCTCTCTCTTCTTCTCTATCAAATAAATAAATAAGATCTTTTAAAAAAATTCTCATTTTGTTAGATGTTAAATTCAAATATTGAAGCATCTATTAGAAAAGAAAATTGACCTCACTCTCTAAAGTTTGAAGGTATCTACCTGACCAATAACTTCTTATTTGCTGTCTGACCTCATCATGACACAGGTTGAAATATAAAACCCAGCCCGTAGTGGAATCTTCTGCTTTCTCCTCCCAAAACACACTCAGGAAATAGCACCACTGTGAATGCTATGCCACCAATCTTGGGGGGCACCATCTTAACAGACCCCAGAATCCTGAGCTGCTACTCACCTTTCTCACAGGTGAGTGAGTTTGAAATGGGCGGTGTCCAGGAGTCCTCACTGCATGTGTACCTTGATGGCCCAGCAACAGCAAAGCCTCTGGGGCAGGTTAGCTCAATGGATTCACCAATTCCGTATAATCTCTGAAATGGTGAGATCGTTAGAACTTCCTGCACAACCGGCTTGAGGCACTGGGTCTCTGGAGGCAGAGAAACATTTTGGATTTGCATAGTGGAGCAGAATACTCAACATATATAAGCAGACTTTAGGCAGCCCAAGAGGGGATTTTAATGCGACTTACTGCATGGGTGAAGCTTTAATGCCATGTTTTGATCAGAAAACTGGGGGTGGGGGGTAGAGTTATCCCAGGCTTCCACTGAGAGACTCCTCCACTGTGACACTCCCTTTAGCTCCATTATCTGAGGTTCCCTTGCTAAGGAAGTCACTCCAGAAACTTCCCACTTTCATTACATTATTGGGACTTTTTCCTTTCAAGACATATTTTTTCCCCTCTTCTCCCCAGTGTGTGTTCCCAAGAGCAAGCCACCACAATGTGGATGACCAGAGGCAGACGTCCTAATTGACACTGGTCTCAACTCTGCTTCATGGGGCTCCCTAATAACTCTTTGGGGTCCCTACTTGAGCCTTCTGGGAATCTATTTTGACTTTACTGTAGCCTACAAATGGATCTGTGTGGAGCCTACAAACTTCTCCTCTCTTCCTCAGTAAAGGATGTGAACACGCTCTAAGGAGAAAACTGCATTTCACATAAAATCCCATTTCTGATACATAAAGAGTGTAAGTATCATTTTCCTGGGACTCATCAATTTGCATGAATTTGGACATCAGGCAAGGCAGAGGTCTGAGGTTCGATGTAGTTAGCTGACTTTTGGGATTTCTTTGTAAGCACATGCTTTGTAGTCCTGCGTCTATGAAGCTAAGATACAGGGGCATGAGAACTGAAATAGGAAGACATTTTGAAATTGAATTTTACCAGATGAATCCTATTTTCTGCTTCGCTAGACCTTTTCACCAGAGTTACGAAAAAATCATACAAAGTAGTGATCTGAGGGTGGGATTTTGCTCTAGTTATATGGGGCACATTCATTCTTTAGAGCAGTCATGCAAAAAGTCTGCCCGCGTCTCACGTTGGCATTCCACATCTCCTCGCCTCCAGGTCCTGTCTGGTAAACATCTGAAGTACTGGTATCCAATAGTTGTGAATCCAGTAAAGCATGAGATTTCAACTTCTTCCCCAACTGAGTACAGTTTCTTCTCATTCTAGAATTAAAACAGAAACCAACAAATTATCGATGCCACAAACGATATCTCTAAACACCTCGGGGTAGTCCTGGATTCTTCCCATTCCTTCACTCCTGGATCTACTCAGTCACAGGGCTCCTCTCAATTTCTACTTCTAAACATCACTCAAAGTTCTCTCTTTTCCTTTGCCATCATCACTGCCTTTGTTCATGGCATTTAGGATCTCTTACAAGCACAACTTTCTAACCGGGCCCTCTTCTAATCCACCTTCCATATTGCTGCTCTAAATTGATTAAGATTTTTTGTTTGTTTGTTCTTGTTTTTGCTTAGAAACTTCCTCCCCACTGGATATGGCATGGCCTATTACTGCAAAAATTAAAAACCTATATACTTACCCTATAGTGGTTATAAACTGATGAAATAGTGTATTCTATATATGCAGAAAATACAGGGATTTGCTGTGGTGGCTAATTGACTACAGATCATTTAAAAGTGTTACTCAAACTATGGACTCTGAGAAACAAACTGAGGGTTCTAGAGGGGAGGGGGGTGGGGGGATGGGTTAGCCCGGTGATAGGTATTAAAGAGGGCAGGTATTGGGGCGCCTGGGTGGCTCAGTTGGTTAAGCGACTGCCTTCGGCTCAGGTCATGATCCTGGAGTCCCGGGATCGAGTCCCGCATCGGGCT